GAACGGATTGTATAAATCGAGATCTCGGTTTACTTTTACACTTTTTTGAGAATCCTCATGTCCCTTCATGGCTTTCGTAATTTACGAAAGCCGGATAGGCTCATTTTTGACAAGACAAAAAAAATATTTAACTCGTTATAACGAGATAATTATCTCGTATTAACGAGTTAGTATCTCGTTATAACGAGTTAGTATCTCGCTATAACAAGTTAATATCTCGTTATAACGAGTTAGTTATCTCGTTATAACGAGTTAGTTATCTCGTTTTAACGAGTTAGTTATCTCGTTATAACGAGTTAATTAGTATCTCGTTATAACGACTTAGTTATCTCGTTATAACGAGTTAGTTATCTCGTTATAACGAGAAAATTATTTCGTTATAACGAGAAAATTATTTCGTTATAACGAGTTAGTATCTCGTTATAACGAGTTAGTTATCTCGTTATAACGAGTTAGTTATCTCGTTATAACGAGTTAGTATTTCGTTATAACGAGTTAGTATCTCGTTATAACGAGTTAGTTATCTCGTTATAACGAGATAATTATCTCGTTATAACGAGTTAGTTATCTCGTTATAACGAGTTAATTATCTCGTTATAACGAGTTAGTTATCTCGTTATAACGAGTCAGTATCTCGTTATTACGAGTTAGTATCTCGTTTTAACGAGTTAGTTATCTCGTTATAACGAGTTAGTTATCTCGTTATAACGAGATAATTATCTCGTTATAACGAGTTAATTATCTCGTTATAACGAGTTAGTTATCTCGTTATAACGAGATAATTATCTCGTTATAACGAGATAATTATCTCGTTATAACGAGATAAAAATTGATCTAGAATTGATATATTTAAGTAAAGAATAGACCATTAATTATAGGAAATATACAGAAGCAAGTCGATCAAATTATGTTTAAGTGTGCGTGATAAAGATTCTATGGAACAGCATACTAGTTTTTTTGTGTTATGCCTTTGATTAGTATTGTTTATTGGAAAGACCGAAGACAAATATACGGAAACTTGTGACCGCCTCATGTTGTTGTGTTATACCTTAAAATTGCAAAATAAAATTAGTGTCATCTTCAAATGGAATGTATATAAGATCAAAATTTTGTCAACTTGTACAAGGAGATCAGAAAAAAATGATATACTCTGGCTGATTTAACTGCCCTGTTCAAGCTTTCTTGAATTTGTTAAAATTATGATAATGTTTGCGTAATATTTGTCGCAATAAAAAATGCATAGAAATAATCCCATTATTTTGAATATTCCGAATAAATCTTGTGGATATGAAACCATTTGTTAGGCTTTAACGATCATATTTTGATAATTCCTTGCCTGTTAACAAGGAATACCAGTTCAATTTTATCGTCTTAAAGGGGCAAGATCAAAATTCAATGTCTGACAAAAAACTAAATTCACGTTGTTTTTATCATCAATCCCTCCTTCCCCTCAATAATAAATATGATGAATATCAAGAAATAATACTGTACTTATCACTTAATAATTTATATATTTCTTCTGTTTATTAAAAGAAAGAAACATTTTAATTTACCAATTTGGCATGGAATTTTAAATTACAATATGTAATTTTTGCGTTATTATCAATGTGGTAGAATTAAAAAAAACTTTTGGAGCTCTTTATTCTACGGAAGCCACAATAAAAGGTGAAAGTCAGCATTAGTAAAAACAGTTGACATGTGATCCTTTTTGGGAATAGAATGAAAGTTTAATATCTAAAGTTTACAATATGATAAGCATTACTTAAGGTGTATTTCAAGCATAAATTTTGCAAAGAAATGTGATTTTTGATATTTTCACTCGTGCTTCGCACTCATGAAAATATAAAAAAAAATCCCTGTCCCACTCGTGAAATAAATTCCATATCAACTACAAAACATTGAATATCCTCTATTTATTACCCCCCCCCCCCCCCGAAAAAAAAAAATCATCAATCTCTTTTTGAAATAAAAATTATATGCTTGTAAAGTATACATAATAAATATTGTGATGAGGAAAATAATTAACGACATTGCTTCAATGTTGTATTAATAATATAAATGTACATATGGGGGGGGGGGGTAAACCAAGTAAAATATTTGACAAGTAAAAAGAAAAAAAAATAGATTTGATATTCCAACTACGAGTATTCGCCATTATTTTCGGGAGATATTTACTCAGGTAAAAAAATATGGAGGAAGGGGCACAAAGATACTCTTGACCGCCCCCTTTTCAAAAGTGGTGGTGTGGACATTAGCCCCTCTATTACTACGCCTATGATCTAACTGCTGATGTCTCACAATCCCCCGTCTTCAAAACATTTCTGAATCTCAGAAGTAACATATGTATAACACTGTAATCTATATATTATATGTTGCATAAACGATATGTTGCACTTATATTGTCTCTGATATTTAATTTTAGCGGTATAGAAATTGATATATGAAAGTGTATACCAGTAAATCGTCCAAAACATATCGAAATAGTGTCATTCATCAGAAATAGTTGTCATAAATAAATTGCCAAAGTTTGAAGCAAGTATGTTTGGCAATATTATTTAAAAAAAAAATCGCGTCCTAATGCAACAATTTGAGGAGGAGTTCACGAAAATGTGTAAATGTGTTCGCCTTAGAGTTGCTATGATTATTGACAGCGAGATAGTTACAGATTTAATCATAAGTAAACCCCATAGCAAATTAAATTTTCAACCATTTATCAATTGTTCAAGTTAAATTTGACTGATAATTACTTGCTAAAAATTCAACGGCATTTAAAACTGCAGCCATTTTTATTCCTATATTTAAGTCTCGAAATAACAAGAAAACTGTCTCGTTATAACGACATAAATAACTCGTTATAACGAGATAATTATCTCGTTATAACGAGTTAGTATCTCGTTATAACGAGATAATTATCTCGTTATAACGAGATAACTAACTCGTTATAACGAGATAACTAACTCGTTATAACGAGATACTAACTCGTTATAACGAGATAATTATCTCGTTATAACGAGATAACTAACTCGTTATAACGAGATAACTAACTCGTTATAACGAGATAACTTACTCGTTATAACGAGATACTAACTCGTTATAACGCGATAATTATCTCGCTATAACGAGATACTAACTCGTAATAACGAGATAACTAACTCGTTATAACGAGATAACTAACTCGTTATAACGAGATACTAACTCGTTATAACGAGATAACTAACTCGTTATAACGAGATAACTAACTCGTTATAACGAGATACTAACTCGTTATAACGCGATAATTATCTCGCTATAACGAGATACTAACTCGTAATAACGAGATAACTAACTCGTTATAACGAGATAACTAACTCGTTATAACGAGATACTAACTTGTTATAACGAGATAACTAACTCGTTATAACGAGATAACTAACTCGTTATAACGAGATACTAACTCGTTATAACGAGATAACTATCTCGTTATAACGAGTTAATTATTTTTTTATCTTGTCAAAAATGAGCCTATCCGGCTTTCGTACCTATTTGCATTTCTTATAACATTGGAAATAAATGCTTCCATCCTCAAGAAAAACTAGCTTCAATGCAAAGTAAACGATGAACTTTCAAAAGGCTTTCAAAGAACAATTTTATTTCCTTATGAGTGATTCAAAATTGATAAAATTGAATACATTACTCTTGCGCAACTTTTTAAAAAAGATAATAAAGTTTCTATGGACTTTCTCAACTTAATTTGATCCATAACCTCTACTATTTCGGCACTGCATTGATCAAATAAATTGTAGATTCTCTGTAAGATCATTTTTTGGCACAAAGAGGAGAAGGGGCACTGTTTTTAAGTTACAATGTATATGTACACAAAAAAGACTATAAAACAACCTCTTTAGCATATCAAAAACTAGATTTCTATTGTCCCTAAGCAAATTCGGGGTGCCCTTTTCCCTTGTGTTATAGTCCAAAACATTTAAAACACCATTTGTTTTCAATCCCTGTGAAGTCCACAGGGTTTGAATATAAATTTCATTTGCAGTCATTTTTGCTATATTTATTGATACTTTCTCTCTGTTATTATTATTTGTGTGAAAAGAGACTGAACTTTTTACTTCCTGTAAAGAGTAAATTTATCCACTAAAGTTATGGGAGCAGTTATTATTTCATACTTAATTTAAATAGATAAAATCACCTATTCAAATAGGGGATATCACCGATTCAAAAGCTGAATAGGTGATATCACAAATCGAATAGGTGATATCACTAACTGAATAGGTGATATCACCTATTCAAATAGGTGATATCATTAAATGGCGGTAAATACCCAAAGGGGTCCTCATGCTATTGCTTGCAATAGCATACATCCTAGTCTTGATCCTTTTAAACATATGTTTCATATTTTGATATTTTATTTATGATAGACGATATGGCCAATTAACAAACGGGTTGACTTTAGAAGTCTCTAAAACATCAAGTAGATCTTGTTTAAAATGTAGGGCACTTTTGCAATATGTCCGAAAATTACATGTTTGTACACTATTCAAATCATTGGCGAAAAAAAGGCATTCAACGAAACACTTAATTAACCGGTAGATAGACACTGTAAAAATTCTCTCTCTCTCTCTCTCTCAATCTGGATAGTATAAGCGTTAATAAAGGGTGATGCCACTTTTTCTACAGGCAAAAGGGTCATTTTTCGACGTTGAATAATAACAGGGAGTCATGTTTCGATGTCGAAAAATGACCCCGGTCATTATTCTATGGGGATCATTATTCGTCTTTACTCCGGAATTTACTCGGTTCAAAACGACTAAATTACCAAAGCTCCACGCATTTAATAATCAAGCTTAAGTAAATGTTAAACTGGATTCATTTATTTTAATAGTGCTTTGTAAATTTCGAGATGGTAGTTTGGAAAAAAAATTCCTAAATGCATATACAATTTATCTATAATACATATTCCGGAGTACAGTTAAATGGCTGATGGTAATATAATAGCAGATGGCAATTATTTCAGTGAAATATAGATATAAGATCAACATTGTTCAGCAGCCCCGTGTTGGATCAGAAGTTTTCAGTCGACCATTGATACGATGTAAGTAATCATCCTTCTGTTTTTTTCTATAATACTTGAGTGTATAGTATTAGGCTATTATATCATTTTTTTAATCTGAGTAGTTGTGTCTAAACAGCCATTGAATTTTACAAATAAAAAAGCTAGCATGCTATCAGTTGTCTAGAAAAAAAAATTTAGAAATCGTACAATGTAAAGATGGACATTATTTTCGCGTGATGTTCATTTCAATTTTTTTTTTCTGTTTAGCATGCAGAAAATGAGGAGTGCAGCATTTTTTATTGGTCTTGCGGTAACATTCATTTTTCTCGGAAACTGTCACAAAAATGCTGCATTCAAGTTGGCTAAAGGCATGAGGAGAGAAAAAACGATCAACTTACTTCGCCGAGAAGGAAAAGAAACCCCTAGAACATTTGAGGACCCTTCTTGTTTCCCCACTCTTAATTCCGACGGGATATCGATGTTAAATTATGGTATAAATCTCATCAACTCCTCAATAAAAATATCTGGAAGATTTTTCGCGGCCCTTCAGGACCTATACCATACCGACAATAATACAATTAAAACTGTTATTTATGACAACCTTGAATCTTACAGCACTTATTCTGCGAGAAAATTCAAAGAAAATATGGATTCTGATTTAGAGGCAACCGCCATTTCATTCTACACTTACTTGATCTATAGTAGAATAAACTCCTTTTTACGAGAACACAAATGCGGAAAAATGAATCTGACGGACGACGCAAAAAATCTGGGTCCATACAGTGCTTATTTAATGGCTGTGCTGATGTTCTCTCCACTCCTGTCTAAAGAAACAAATACAACCTACAGAGAGGTGTCCTTTGATGAGGAAATGATTGACCAATATGAGATCGGAACTACGTTTCTTTGGTCATCATTTTCATCTTCATCCATGTTTAATATGAATTTTTTTGGAAATGTGGAATTTGTTTTCAACAACTCTCGATCGTCATTGTGGAGTCCTAGACGCATTGAACAATATTCGTTCTATCCCGAGGAAGAGGAAGCCTTGTATCCTCCTGCAGCAATGTTCAAAATTACTGAAAAAACAGTCAAAGGGAAAGATGTATATATCTATGCTGATCTTGTAAACCAAAATTTATGAAATAAACAGTGCCTGTTCATATTCAATCGAAGGAGATGAAAAATGCCTTATTAAATGCATTGTTGTTAGTGTTCTATATTTTTTAATATACTAGTAATATTGCAATGGTCTTGTTGGCTGATATTTTTTGGATCGAAGGTCTATATATAAGGTTGTTTTCATATTCACCTTTTGATTTAGTTTATAATATAAATTTATTAATATGTTGACGGTGCGACCGTTGGGGCGAGCGCATTGTTCACTTCATTTTAAGATCCGCCTCTTCAAACCTCACGAGACATTTGGAACGTCTAGACTGTGACGTCACATGACGTATGTTAGCTGCATTTCCATAAACAAAGTTTAAAAACTGCACATATTTTAACAAAAAACGTTTAATCTACTATCTGCATGCAATATCCATTAAATTAAGGTGAGTTTATTTTTTGAGAAATTTTAGTTGTTGTTACCGCGTGAATGAAGTTAGCAGCGAGAACAAGAAGCGATGCATTGTGGGTCAGAATTACTGCGGAAAAAAATTCTATTGAATGAATGTGCAGTAGTCCGAATTTTCTCTTCGCCCAGGCGTTGTCGTTAGAGCTCGCAGTGACGAGCGGCGCTTCGCGCCGCTCGCTGCGCTCGCTATTATTTAGTTTATAATATATAAAGCACCTGAAATGATTAAAAATAAGTCTCGCACTCATTTTTGAATTTTTAGACTAAAGACAACAAATGATCGAAAGAACCAGCCAACCAAAACAACAAATATAAATAAACAAAAAATAGATAGATAGATAATAATAATAATAACATTCACTTTTGTTGAATTCTATTGCAACAGGCACTGTCTCTACTAACTGATCACCGCTTATTTCTACTGCTTAAATATGTTACTGCCAGTGGTATAACTTACATGCACAAATAATCTTGAGCGTTTTTAAAGCTGAAATTTTGTGAAAATGAAAAGGGTGGATCCATGAAAGAGAGAACGTATTTCCTCACGACAACTTCTTGACAAGCAAAATAGGCAAAAGCCTATTTGAGTGGTTAAAATATAAGGTTACACTAAAATGTGACGAGACAGAAAATTCTGATATATGTTGGGTAGGCCACTGAGAGGGAAAGGGGGAGGGGTGTTATCACGATTATCTCTAAATAGAAGTAATTAAGAGTTGGATCCCATCATTCATATTTTTCTGTATTCATATTGGTGTATAATACCCTCCCCCCGCCCAAATAGTTTTTTTGGTAATTTTGCTTGTCGGGGAATCTTGGAGTTCGGTGTTTTGTTTTCAAGAGGAAATATTCCTTCCTCCTCCTTTCCCGTATGAATTGGATCCGTCCTCTTTTTTTGCTGTTGTTGTAATATTGTTGCTTTGATTGGGTTTTAATCAGTCATGCGTATTAAGGATAACAAAATAGGCAATATAATTCATAAACAATGGCAGTGAGCAGCTGGCAGTAAGCAGTTGGCAATTTAGCGATCAGCAATTGCTGAAAATGAAATCAAATTTTTTACAGAATCAAAAACATTACGTTTTTTAAAGCGGAAAAAGAATGGAATGAACCAGTTAAAATTTCATTGATATTAGATTTAGTTGTACCAGGAAAGATGTCGATAAAAATTTATACAACTGTAAAGAAAATTAATTACAAGCAGCTCTGTGACTTGAATTTGTCATTTTGCATGATTGGATTTTACTAGACGTATTGACCTGATAAGAAATTGAAATTACATAATTAATGGTGCATTTAGTTACAACTAGATGTAAGTGAATAAATAGTGAATTACAAATATTATGATTTATTAATCATTAAAGCTGTTTGATCCGAACAATTAGATGTCAGGAAGCTTTATTTCTTTATATTATATTTTTTCTTACAAAAAAAGTTACTAACTTTCGTTTAATTACACCTTTGAAATAATACCCGTCACAAAGATAAAAAGAAAAAACGTATCGAAGAAAAATTATTGACGTCCAGAAGGAAATACAAAGGACATTGACGTTTTGCACATGCGCACAGTAGCTTCTATCTTCCGACGTAAAATAAGTATAAATAGCACTCATTCACTTGTCACAATGTCAATCATTTAACTACATTCATATTAATAGTATTTTTTTTTTTTAACTTTTTTAGTTCCTTCTGCTTCATAAGAATTTATTTTTGACAGAGCAACTTTACATGGTTCATTTAAAATGTATATTCACTTATATAACTTACACATGAATATATAAGACCATAACAGAAAATAAAATCGTCAAATCACTGAAAATTAAATATATTAAAAAAATTAATCAAATTAAGTATATAAGCACGTTTAAATTCACATTAAAAAAAGGAATGAAAAAAGTAAAGGTAAGGAACAATAATCGATCTAAAAAAAAAATCTACAAACAATACAAATCTGAACAGGGCATAAAAAGGACCCCGGAAATTCCAGAGGTGGAATCAGGTGCCTAGGACGAGTAAGCATCCTCTGTCGACCGGTCGCACCCGCCGTGAGCCCCAAGTATTCATCAGGTAGGGATATTCGTTCATCCTGAAGTCTAAGTTTATATATTTTTTATATTTTTTTTTTAGCAAGGAACCAAATGTATTTAGAGTGTCGGTCCATCATTAATTTATTTGAAATCGTACACATAAAATTTTACAATACTATGCAAAGGAAACATTATATATAAATGCATCAATGGGTCTCTCAATACTTATAGATCCAATTAAAACAGACCAAATCCTAATCTTATTATCCCTCTTAGCATAAAAAAAACGAAAGAAAATCAACACAGATTTTGAAGTACTAGAAAAGCAATTTTTTTAAAAAAGTAAAAACTTTTCCAACACTGAATGTATGAGAATATATATATATATTAGAAGATCTTTAAAAACTGATTCGTAGTAAAAATTTTCATTCTGCCTCTAACAGTATGTATTTTAATCTGACAGGTATATCTTTTACCGAGGACCTTTTTTTTATTCATTGTCATTGTGTGTTAGATGAATATATCGATGTATCCCACTGAATCTGAAATAAAAGACACCACAGAGTCTGCATATCTGTTTCATATTTGGATGTTTTACTGACTATAGACGATAAGGGCCAACTAACTACAAAACTGTATGACAAACGATATGACTTCAGCTTTTCAATCGTCAACTTTCCTTAAAGCTGAACATGATTCGTAAAAGGAATGTGTCCGCCATATTTGCTTGGTCTCTTGCTATATCCGAGGACCCATATATAAAGCCGCTCACTTAGTCACTGTTCAGTGTTATCAATCGTCACCGGTGTAGACGGACGTATGCTGGTAGCGACAAAAAATAACTGAGTACTTCTTCATATGCAGGAGAGTAAGATACCAAAGAAACTTACAACAGTTGCACAGGTCAGTGCAGTATACAAACAAACACAAATACACGTTACTGCAATAAAATGTAAACAAAGGTAATACAAGATAACCAGCACGAAAACGGGTCGCCATTCCACGCCAATACCCGTGCCAATAAAGCAGTCAGGTGTAACGAATGCGTAGAGTATACCCCGGTGCTGATATCGTAGATAGTAATATCGAAAATGGCGTATGCCTATTTACGAGTCGTGTTCAGCTTTAATATGTAGTAATATTCCTCTGTCATCTGCATATGGGGTTTACGTCTCCCAGCTTATTCGATACTCAAGACTCATGCTCTGAGTACGAACAATTTTTAAACCGAAACAGGCTACTGACAGATAAGTTGATGTGACAGGGATTTCAACAACCTCGTTTAAAGTCAGCATTTCGTAAATTCTGTGGTCGTTGTAATGATTAGTATCGTCGAGGGACCGGTCTCAACGTTCCACACTTGATTCGAATCAGCGACGTAGGGATAAATTCCTTACTCCGCAAATCTAACCACTGCGCCATGCAGGCGACGACTAATAAGGTATTTCTAAATTATATATTATTTTATTGAAATAAGTAATTGGACAATATACGGCCTGAGAAATGGGAAAAATGGCATCCACAAATATGTTCCACTAGTAGGTATAGTACAAACAAACCACTTCTGAAAGATTGCCTCTAGTCTGTAAGCGACATTTCTCAACTTTTCCAAGAAATTATTATTTTCAACGATGACTAGGTGAAAGTTTTATATGTTTAAACATTCTTAAAACATCACTTATGTACCTGTAGGTAATTATACTAGTAACTCTTCTGAGAAATGAAAATAGTCATAGCAATAAAACCATTGATTTATTTAACAGTTCACCTACAATTGTAAAATTCAACAGCGGGACTCAAAACACAAGTTCAATAAATACATTTATCCAACTGGCTTTGCCTTAGGTTTGCCGATTCCATGTGATCCAATGCCACCAATTCCTCCAATTCCACTGAGACCACCTGGTCGTCCTATACCCCCAAATCCGCCTTGTCCTCCAGCAAAACTTCCAGGTCCACCTGCAAAGCCTCCAGGTCCGCTAGCAAGACCTCCAGGTCCACCAGCAAAGCCTCCAGGTCCACCAGCAAGGCCTCCAGGTCCCCCAGGAAAGCCTCCAGGTCCGCTGGTAAGGCCTCCAGGTCCGCCAGCAAAACCTCCCGGTCCACCGGCAAGGCCTCCTATTCCGCCAGCAAAACCTCCCGGTCCACCGGCAAGGCCTCCAATTCCACCTCCAAAACCACCCGGTCCACCGGAAATCCCTCCTGGTCCGCCAGCAAGACCTCCAATACCCCCAGCAAGCCCTCCAGGTCCTCCAGCAAAACCTCCGGGTCCTCCAGCAAAACCTCCAGGTCCACCTGCAGCCTTTCCTATACCACCAAGACCATGTCCACCAAAACTTCTCTCTCCTGAGGATCCAAGTGTTTGAGCAAAACCTATGGAGGAGCCTCCTTGGGGTCCCCCTAATAAACCTTGGCCTAAAGAGTGACCAGCACCACCAGTAAGTCCAGCTAAGGCGTCAAATCCCCCACTTGATCCACTACCAAGTCCTCCTATACTTCCACCAAGTGGACCACCTTGAAGACCGGAAAAGGAATCAGCACCAAATCCCGCATGGAATCTATTTCCAAGACCTGAGATATCTCCACTTCCGGTTCCTAAACCACCCTGACCACTGGCTCCACCGAGCAAATTTTGCAAGAAACCTGCTCCTCCGGTACCCCCCTGATTTTCAAGAAATCCCGAGCCACCAAGGAGACTCTCTAAACCATCTTGTCCTCCTAATGAAGACCCAAGTCCACCTCCAAAACTGTCAGTCATACTTCCAGAAACCAGAGAAGAACCACTGTGAGTCTTGCTGTGCACGACATTGGCTCCACCGTGGCTTCCACCAGGGAATCCTCCTTGACCAGTAAATAAACCGCCTGGTCCTCCTATTCCAGGACCAGCTGGGCCACCTGGGAAAGAGCCTACACCTCCAGCGAATGGTGATGACCCACTTTGAAATGATGATGCACCAGCAGCAAATGAACCACCTTGTAGTCCAACAGCACCGCCGCCAGGAATTTGGATTGGTCCTCCGCTTAAACCACCTGGTAAACCACCTTGTCCTATGCCTGGTAATGCTCCTCCACCTAAGCCACCGCGTCCTATACCACCACCCTGTTGTGTGAAGGATTGAAACTGTCGAATGAGGTCTGCTCCTCCCTGATTTGGTCCTGCAATACCACCGGGTCCACCTGCTTAAAGAGATCACAGTAACATGAAAAACAATTTCATTATTTGGGTAAATGTTTTAAGAATCTATAAAATACAATGTACATCTCGCCGTGTTCGATCTTTTTTATATTATATACAGTATAAAAATTGTTACCTTGGTGTCCACTAAGAAGGCCATGCAAAAGTCCACCGGATTTACCTCTTCCTAATGCTTGGGTGGATAACAAAAGGACTGTGCACAACACAGTAAGGCCGTTCATTCTACGAAGAGTAGTACCTATCTTAAGTAAGGCATCATTGATTCAAAAGGACCGTTGTCTTTTAAAGTGGATGGGGAATGTTTGTGTCCGTATTGTTTAAAAATTCATGCAATAAAAACTTGGTTTAAGTTTTCCCTCTCTCTAAATAATTTTATTTTTACAAAAGGCCACATATATAGCTGGCGATAACATATTGTTTGCTTATACCCCCCCCCTCCCTCCAACCCCCTTCCTTACATCATCAAAAATCCTGAATTTTCTTCCATATTACATATGATTAAAGTCATTATTAAATATATTATTTTTGAAAAACTGCCTAAAACTCAGATATTGTTCTATAATAGTGTGAAGTCATATAAATTTGTGTTTAAATATTAATACTGATACTTATTATTAGTTATTCTATTTGAAATAAGACGTACTAAATATGAAACCAAAAATCAAATACTAGTAAATTTGAATATTTAAAAAAAAATAAGCTAATCGATACGTAAAGCATAGATATAAACCTTTCAAATTTGAAATTTTATGAAAGTGAATTAGTTGTTACAAATATATATCTTGCTGAATCATATAAATCAACTGATTTGAATTTTAAAGTAATAATTAATGCTTAAAATAAACTTGAAAAAGTTGTCTGCCCTTGTTGAAAAAAAATGAAAGAAAATAAATTGCTAATTTTTGCACGGTGCTCATTTTTTCATTGTTATTATAATATTTATTATATCTAATAAAATTCAAATTATGTGAATTTATGCACCCTTTTTAGAGGTGTTACTGACAAAAATTAAATTTTCTATCCTCATATATGATACTTTGGTTTTTATTTATTTGGGGGTCTTTATATGTACACTGGATAAAATTTAAGTTCTCGCTAATAAAAATGATTTACAGTTAATGTATATAAAATAACAAATCTTCATAATCCAAGATTTGAAGTTATACTGATATTTTATTAAATGATATTTGTTATGTTTGTTGTAAAAATGCTGTAAATAAGTTAATTTAATTAAAAATTGTCTTTAGCATAAGATGTAAAAATATTAAAACATAGGGGGCATCAACTTATTTGGTTTCAAAGAAAAAAAAAAATGAAATTAAACAAAAAATACGTAATCCGGTCAATTTTATGAAATGAGGGGGAAAATTAAATGATTAAATAATATAGATTTCTTGTACCCTTGTTTTTGGTCCTACCTGAATTGAGTCTAAATTCCAAATGACCGTTTAAAACAGTGGTCTTGAAAATTCAATTTCTAACTCTTATACAGGGAAACAAGTGAGGATGACACGTCATCATGGAGTCAGCAGACGATTGAATGTCATCAATCAACATGCCGTTCATCTTTGTAATGTTGTCGGTACAACTTGTATACAAGAAGCCAGTTCCAAAATATTTTGATTAAACCAAGAAATTACATCAATTTCTATGTATTTATTCAGTGCAATGTCTTCACAAATTGATAGTTTTAAAACAACACTCTGTGCATATCTTATAGTCATTTTTAGACTTACATATTTATGCACTTAAAAAAAAATCGTGGATGTATGTAAGTGTTATTTTAGCATAAATGAAATAAAAAAATTGATTGTGTTTTGTTTTAAATTTTGAATTGTTAAATGATTTTCAGAAACAAATCTATCTTAAAGTATCTACTTGTAAAGCTTAAATGGTTTTGACTTAAAATAGTCTGAGGAAAAAAAGGAATATCTCAACTTATGTGTATATAAATTTTTTTTTTCCTGAATTTAAAAATATATTTGAATAAATAAAAATATTTTTCTACTATTACAAACAATGGCAATAATGTATAAAATAAACAGAATGATGCAGTTTAACTGGTCTATATAATTAACACTAGATTGTTACAGATATAATTTCTTTCTACAACTGAAACAATTGTGAAAAAAGTATCTGAGAAATAAACAGATAAAAGGCAAGTTAAAATGTACAAGAATTCTTGGTATACTAAAAGTCAAATTCTGTAAAGTTGTGTACATGTATCTTTCTCAAGTTGAAGGGAACTTTGTGTCTAGCCCTTAAACAAAGTTAAAGAGCGCCATTGAAAATTTCACTCTAACCGATGTTTTAAAAAAGGTATACAGATGAACTACCTGTTGATTTCATGAAACTTTTTTTTCTTTCTTTCCTGTACTTTGCATGGATTTTAAAAGGAATTTCTAAACACTGCACTGAAGAGATGTAATTCAATGGTAGTTTTATGCAGTTAGAGTGATCTGCCGTTAGATGCAAGTTAGAATAAATGAAAATCTAGACAGTGAATGGCAAAATTTATAACATTAAAAGTATTCTTAACATTAAATTAAACCAAAATAAAGTAATTGATTGAGTACAATATTTGCATTTATTAAACAATTTGTACTATATTTTAAGTATTATATAAGCTCAAGTAATTAAACACAATTTTTTGCATGTATTCCCCAATGTAAGTAGAGATCGCAGCATATCAAAAGACGGGAGCATGAAAGATCTAACTTTGCTCTGTTTGGATTTCTTGCTTGGAAACTTAGTTTATTTTCCAAAAATGGATAATGTTAAGGGCATACGCAACGTATCTTACCTACTGATAATTTTTCAAGATATTCTTAATATAAGATTATAGTGTCATCAGATGTTCGTAGATAAAAAATCAGCATGCATTGCATGGGGGTTTGAAAAGATATCAATTGATGAAAATTCTTGTATAATTCAAAGAAATATACAAAAATTACAAAACATATATTCTAGATGTTTTGTTTATCCAAACTTGTTTTAGAAGAAGTGTACAACAGCATATATAGACATTAAAATGTAGCACACAGTCGGAACTCTTCAACTCCAGGGAAAAAGACAATAAAGGTCAAACTACGTTGCGTATGTCCTTAATAGAATGGCGAGAAAAGCACACCATTTGTCTCTTACTCTCCTATTTACATGTATATATCATTTTTCTAGGTTTCAGTGTGCCACTGATATGTACCACTACATACATGTATGATCTCCATAGACAAAACGGCACTTTTAGTAACATAATTAAAGAGCTGCTGATCCCAGTACAATGGGCCTAATTTGGGAACTTTTAGACAACCACAGTTTGAAATTCAAAATATTTACAGGGTAAAATTCTATAGACGTTTTGCAGTGGAAATGAATGGAATACGTAAATCATTCAGAAATGAAGAGAGTCAAATGCAGTAAAACAGCATCTAACGCAAGCACAGATGCATGACTATTGTATAGTTAATTTCTACTAGGGATGTTTTCGAAATTTCAAAAGAATTGACCTATAGGAGAGAACAATTTTCCTGAAAAGTCACATTCTAATATCAATCAATGTTCATAATTTATATTTGTATGTCTACCTTATTCAAAGGACTATACATGAAGAGTCAATTTTGCCCCCCCCCCCTTTCAACATTTTCTAATGTAATTCAGGTACATTATCATAATTCTATGAAATTAAAACGCAGTCATGCGGAAATACATTTCAGTGTAGCACACTTTCTTTCAGGTTAAGAATTATTCACTCTGTCTTACTCCATACAGGTATTCTCGTCTACAAGAGCTGTAATGTCTGGTTTTTTTTTTTTTTTTTTTTTTTTGTACCTTTGAATTTAATCAATTCAGTGTGTCTGCTTTTATTCTTTCTGTACCATTAGTACTTGTCTGCATCATTGAGCTGGAACGTTTACGTAGTGTTGTTTCATATTTGGATGTTTTACTAGAAAAAGACAATAAACTTGATGATTTTACCTTTCCTATCGTCAACATCCTTTAATTATGTAGCGATATACCACCTGCAGATGAGTTTTATGTCTCTCAGTTGATTCGATAAGCAAGACATGTTCTACGTACGATCAATTTCTAAACTATATAGGCAACTGTCAAATACGTTGATTACACAAGGATATCAACAATTTCGTTTAACGTCAATATTTCGCAAATTCTATGGTCGATACAATGATCTTGTTCGCAAGTACAACCTATTGTTAAGCCGAATTTAGTCCGACATGTTTCATACTATATTGATTGATTGTATGTTGTTTTATGTCCCATTCAAGATTTTCATATAGAGACGTCACCATATACCGGTGAAGGGCTTCAAATGAAGACCTTTATTCGGCACTCAGGGCCATTGAGCAGTGAGGGTTCTTTATCGTGCCACTGACTGCCGTGACACGGGGCCTCGGTCTTTAAGGTCTCATCCGAAAGACCCGCAACTTTCACTTCATAGTGCCGAACGCTTGGCGAAGGAACAGTTGCTACCTATTTTTTATCAACTTAGGTCAGTCGCTGCCGAGGTTCGAACCAACGACCTTCCGATCACGGAGCGAGCGCTTTACCAACTACTGTGTCGTGACGGTCATCATACTACTAGTATATTTCTCTGGATAGCTGACAACCTACAATGAAGCGCATTGAAGTGGTAAAATTTGTCGTTTGAGTGGAAAGTTTGGGTGTTTCTTATCGTACGTCAATTGCTACATAACGACACGCCCATTTCTTTAGAAACGAGAAACAAATATTCGTCGTAATGCATGCTTTAGGACACCCCCACTCTCTGCGACTAGCAATATGAGTTACACTGAAATGGAGATTTTATAAAGTTAGAGACCCCGCTTCTGTAAAACACGTATTGCATCGAATATTTGTACATAATTATGAATTTATCGTTCATTGGAGTTACCACAACAGATAAATCTGTCGAACACGTGTTTACTCGGTGTTTATGTAGACTGTCAGTTTGATTGACCACTGTATTTATTGAATACCTGTTCATCAGGTGTTCGAGTGAACCATTTGACCGCTTTTTTCCTTTCTAAAGAAATGGGCATGTCATTATAGACAATCAACGTTCTGAAGAAAGCTCAAAACGTTCCTTTCAAACGGAAAATTTTACCACTTCAATGCGCTTCATTGTATGCTGCTATGCATGCTGTTAAATATTCTCCAAATTACAAGAATTTTCAAAACCTTGGGTTCAGATGTCACTCAACCTGAGCAACTTTCCTGTCATATCTTTATAATGGTTTAAGAATTATTGAGACCTCAGAAAAAAACTGTACATTCAGGCTTTATTAATTCAATACAAGCCACATTACAAAAGCTAAAACTAAATTCCACAGTGTTCAAAACGAGATCGCAATTATACATATATTGGTACACTGACTAAATCTAACTAATCTCCAATTGAACAACGTATAATTTTTTTAACCACTGTATTAGATCAAAGACAGTTGTATTCCATCTATGCTACATTGCAAACAGTGTATTTTCACTGTAATGATAGTGTATTTCCACTGCAATGGTACTTGTGTGCCTACACACCTGAACAAGATTTGAAACATTCCTCTGGATTTTACAGACACTTCTTCAACAATTTGAAAAGCATTACTTAATGCTACATACTGAAGATTTATAGTGAATAAAATTTACAAAATTTGCTAAAGACATCTTCATAAACAAACTAGGAAGCTGTTAAGTTGATGATTGCCATGTATATATATATTATATATATATATATATCTAAATTAGTAAAAATTATCTCAAGCATAAAAATTCTTAACAGTGCAAAACATTATCAAACGAATTTGACAAAGACATTTAAATTATGGACAAGAAATGTATTACATCACTACGTAGAATATGGTTGATAGATCTCTATTCTTTAAACACTTCATTATCATTAATATTGCTGCTGCATATGTTAAACTGGTGGAATTTCAGGTACAATGTTTCTCACCGACCATAAAATGCATATACATGTGTTTAACTGCTCAGGTTTCGGGTACAATTTCTAACTGATCATGAAAGCTGAAGAGAGTGCCAATAACACTTACAATGAATGAACACTACATACATATTATTGCAGAGCTATCCATGAGGATACATATTCTTTTTATTGAATTATTAACTTTCAAAGTTGAGGACTGATAACTGCAACACCAAACTGGTTTTCAAAAACAACAGAGCACTTTTTCTAATTACTGAGCACTAATGTTTTCTGAGCACTCAGGCCTGTGCCTTCCCATATATATTTTCACAATCTAGATGATGAAACAAAAATCTCTCAGCTTCATGAATTATAAATGTCAGTAATCCAAAATTTAGCATAAAGAATATCATTTCTTTCATACAATTATCTGTATTTTTATCTGTGATATTGTAAATATTGTCTGTTAGGCAGAAAAGCTGGTGCTTGATTTGAGTGTTTTGGAAGTCTAGCAGGTCACACTTCCTTCCATGGAGCAGGCAGACATGGTCATCTTGTTCTTTCTCACCTCCTCAATTTTGCGCTCCTAAAAGAGGACAAAATTATCAGCATTTTCTTAATAGATATTTGAGACAATCACTTCTAATTAATTTTGCTTTGAAAACATACCATATTTTCCCAAATGATATAGTTTTAAAAACATTCACGAGTTTTGCACATTATCTACATTTTGTCATCTAAAATGTTCAAAAATAAAGCAGAGTTTGACAATAATAGTCTTTCTTATTTGTATACATGCATGCATGCACTTATGAATGGCAAATTAATGTCCTCCTATATGCCAACTTTGCAAAAATCCAATAATTTTATAAATTTCCTTGTACTATGCGAATATGTAAAATGAAGTCAATGAAAGTGCAGATAAAAAATTACAAACTATTTTCAGACTAATTTTAAAGTCTTACATGATCTTTAAGTCTCTCTTGCAGTGCTTTAAAATGCTCTTCACGGTTCTTGAGGGCATTCTCCAATTTCTGGATAATTTTCTCCTCAGAGGTCTTGCTCATATTCTCACTAGCCTTGCATACTTCCTCAATATGTTTTGCCTGGGGAATACAATGAAATCATTCATACAGAGAAAATACTGTAAAAGACTTTTTCTACCTTCTTAAGACAAACTGCTTTCTCTCAAAGAAATAATTCTGCAGTCATTATTATGCTAGAGGCAAGAAGGTTAGGGATGTGTGATTAAAAAAGTAATAGAAAAAAAATTCTCCTAAAATTTCTTACATGATCCTGTAGGCGCTTGACAATAGACTGAAGCTGGTTTTTGCGGTTTTCTTCATAAGCCTCATACTTTTGGGCAAGTTTATCTTCTAGCTCTTTGCTCTCAGTCTCACTATTTCTACACACTTCATTTACTTTGGCCAGCTGAGGAGATAGAGATATGGGAGTGAGGAGCATTTCAAAACACTTGAAGTGTCAACCTCATATCTTTCGTCTTGAAGTCTTGCATATTTCAATTGATATATCAATTTTTAACTGAGAGTGTGAATGTATAAACTGAAAACAATAGTAACACTACATTTCTACCACAATCACACTAAATGGACAACACTTTATTTATATGATTTTTCCACAAAAAAAAAAAAAAAAATAAAAAAAAAATAAATAAATAAAAATGTAGGATTAAAACAAAACTGTAACATTCCTTTTCCCAGCCAGATACCTACATGTTCACGTAGTTTCTCTTGCAGACTCTGTATTTGCTGTTCTCGGTTTTCTTTGGTGACCTCCATGGATCTCCTAAGCTTGGCCTGAGCAGCCTTTGCTTTCTCTTCTTCTTCTTTCTGGGATTTTAACAAGGCCTCCTGCATTTTTTGTTTTTCTTTTGCAACAAACTCTAACTTTTGAGCTTCTAAAGACTGTAAATAAAATTTCATCCACATGAACATGATGAAAAAATAAACAAGAGTTTTGTATTCATTAATATTTAACAACAGTGGTTTCTTTTCATAATGTGCAAGGAGCTAGGTTCAATAGCCCTGATTATAGACCAATTAGACTGTCACTTGTCACTATGCAGCTATATTAAGGACACCCATAGGAAATATGCCTTAAAATATTCTGAGAAATGAATACTGTGTTGGTATTTGTTTTAAACAGCATGAGTTTTGATGGATAGGAAAGATTTGCATATGATTTCGGCCAAAGCAATGTCGTTCTATCAGTTGTTTGTCATGTGACAGGTTCAAAGTTGGAAACAAGCTGTGTTTGTGAAACACTGATGCCCCCTAGGGCAGCTCATGGCAAAGGTTAAAGTTTCTCAAATACAAGTCAAACCCCAAAGTCAAGAGATCAAAATTGTTGGTACCCAAGGAAAGGTTTTGACACAATTAAGGAATACACCTGTGAAATATGAAAGCCCTAGCACCAACCATTCAATAGTTATGGCCTAGGTTAATGTTTTTCAAAAGTAGGTCGAACTCCAAGATTAAAGGGTCAAAATTAATGGTGCCCAAGGGAAGGTCTTATCACAAGGAATACATATGTAAAATATGTTTTTACTGAAATCAGCAAAGGAAATACATTTATAATTCAATTCCGACAGAAGTACAGCTGGACATAAGTGAATTAATGTGAATCAGGGATATATATCAAATAAAAACAATGCACAAAAACTTGATTCAGATTGTTAGTGTAACAATGCCATTGTTTCTCTATTAGAAGTGTGAGTTTACCATGCATCGGACACATACCTTGCTTCAGACAACTTTAAGCAATAAACTTTCTTTAAAACTGAATGTTCCCGTGTTTTTACTTGTTTCTGTCTTGAAGCTGAAGATTTAAACTTTTTATTGATGCCAATTTTTTTTATCGTGTTGTGATTAAAATAACTCGAGAATGGCCTTGAAGTTAGGTCATATTTTACATCATCAAGTGGGAGTACCCAGAATTTTACAATTTTGCAAATTTTAAGAGTTGTCGTTCTCTTAATTAGACTTCAACGGAACGCGTCGGACTTAGGTGACATTTGTAAATGATTGGTAATTTTACAGAACTTTTTTTTTAGAAATTTCACTACAATGTTTGTATAATATTTTTAGCGTTGATTTTTACTAGGGATGGCAACGAATATTCGAACATTCGAATATTCATTTGTTGAGTTGATATTCGAATATGAATTTAAGATTCGAATATTCAGTGTTTTTCAGATTTCATAAAAAGAAGAACTGTGATTAATAAATTTTGATTAGAACAGTGCTGGAACTATCCCGGCCTGTTTAATTTGCTAGCGATCAATTTCGATTGCCTGATTTCTTTCACTACTTTCTTATCTTATAGATTACTAAATTACATGTACATGTATTTTGTTTTGAGTAAGGTGTTAAAGAATTGTACAACAATGCTTTATGTATAATACAAAACGTACTTCCATAGGTTTTATTGGTTAGATATGATCGAATCTAGAATAGAGGACAACAAAATGAAATCTTAGATTGTCTAATAGGCGTGAGTATACTTACCAAAATAAATTAAATTGATCATTGAATGAATGTCCGATAGAATTAGTCTAATTAATATTGTAAAGGGCTTAATTTTAGAATAAATGTGTAAATTACTTGATTATCTCGGGTTGTACATAATCCTGAATTTTATATTCACTATCGGGAAATTATTTAATTACCTAGGAAAATTGTCTATAGAAATATTTGTTTCAATTGTATCAAAGATTATAATCATATCTCTTATTAGGCAGATAATTGTAATTCATTACACGTATTGAAATCTGAACAGTATACCATTACAACTAACTTGCCTTTTGTAAGATGACTGGTTCCTCAGTTGGAGCTACTATAAATACACGTTTCATTTGTTAAAATTATACTTTTCTACATCTAAATCAATTATTTATTTCAAACATTGACAAGTATCAAATGGAATTTTTTATTGTATACCTACAAAAGTCTCATACAATTTTACTTTCAATATTAAACCTTTCATGAGAGTAGGATGATGCATACTTAAAATAAAACAGATTTTATTAATTTTATCGAATATTCAAATATATTCGAATACTTTCAATGAATATTCGAATATGAATTATTGACAAAATTGACATCCCTAATTTTTACTAGCATGTTCATTTCACCGTATACATCAGACACAAATTAACCATTCATCAGACACTTTCTGATGCATGTGTAATCACTTTCATTTTCATATTAAACCCGACAGCTGTTTTTTGCAGAAATAGGAAATAGAAACTCTAAACTTTCAGTGAAAATACATGTTATCGATATATGATGTCTAGAATTAGACTCAATTTATTTCTACAAACCAGAGTATAATAATTTAATTTTAGTTGTAACCCGTCTTTTGATTGGATAAAAGATTTCGTTTATATCGTATAACATGCCTACATCACAATGAGTTAGGTCAAAAATGTATTACTCCGCTTGACGTTACTTTTAAAATATGCTTAATTTGAAGCCATTTTTGGAGGAAAAATTGTCTTACTGTCTACAGTGAAATTAAATTATAAGGAATGAAGCTTATTTTAACCTATGTTATACGATATAACATAACTTGGGGCAGTTTACGCTTTATAAATCGCAAAGCGGTTTATAAAAAAAGCGTAAACTGTCCCAAGTTATGTTATATCGTATAACATAGGTTAAAATAAGCTTCATTCCTTAAATAACCCATGAGACAAAGGTGCGAATTGACGTATAATTAGCATTTTAAAGCCTTTCTAAGGCAATGTAAGGCAACTAAAATCTCTCCACATTTGTGCAAAGACATTGTCTATTAAATTTAAGTTGAAGGTTAATTTTTAAATAAAAGATAAAAGCATTTCCATATCAATAATTTTAAAGCACCGTGATAAAGGTAGAAATTTTTTCCGGTTCAAATACTGTTTGTCCGATGCATGGTAAATATTTCCGATCCATGGTGAATTCTGAGTCATTTGAAAAAATTTGAGTTTTTAGTTATATTTTCTCAATAAATAGCACACAATTGTGTCTCAAATTCATATTTTAATCACATACTAAATGTTAAGCTCTATTTTAATAGTATTTGGTCTATAGCGATATCGCTAGACCTTGTTGAAGTACAAGAGTGTTTGATGCATGGTAAATTCACCCCAACTTTATTTTCACCCAAATGTTCATACCTGTCTTCTGGCCTCTGCCTTTTGTAGCTTTTCAAAGATTTCATCGTGTGTAAGGGGCTTTTCCTTAGGAGGGGAGGAGATTTTTGGGGCTGCATCAGCAGCTGGCTTTAAGATGTAGTCATAAGCCACACCACCTGTGCTCTTTTGTAAACCTGCTATAAAAACAAATCACATTCTATGTAAGAGCAAATATCACTGTTGAACTCTGAACATTACTTTGAAGAGCATATGACAAAAATATGCTTGTGAAGATGCAAAGACTTTGTCAATTTTTTTTTGTCTTCTGGTTTATGTTTGCTTTCTTTTTCTGTTTCTATGTTAATATCTGTTAAACTTATTGCTTGATGAAACTTTATTTGAAATAGTGAAGGCTTAAACACTCAATTAAAAAAAAGATCATAGATCATTTACCATAAAATCGGGTATCTAGATGATTCAATTTACTATGCAGAATATGCATTGTAAAGGAAATGGCAAAGGTAAATAAAACAGAATGAAAATATTTTGAAATTCATTATGAATAATGATTTTAATGACAATTTGAAAGTGAATTGTCTTGGTTAAAAATGAAATTTTCAATCAAAGCAAACAGAAAGCAATTAATATCATATGTCATATGAAATGAAAAGTTGACTATATCCACATGTACACTGCTGACTAAATATATGGCAATGGTGCAAATCATAATATATCTGTATAAAACAAGAGCTACAAAAAGCTTAGGCATTGTGATGAACATACTGAATACAACACTCTGACACAACATTGACAGCATTGTCACCTTTGCCTTTCCAGACTACAACAGCATCAAATGACTTCTGGTTTGGATGAATCTGATGAATAGCCTTCTTATTATTGGCTGTGCCCCTCAAGCACAAGAAAATGCTTAACCAGTTACAGGCTGGTTAATCCCGGCAGCAAAGAGGAAAGAAATCAATCATTACTCAATCATATCCTCTATTCATCTAATAGGAATGCTTTTTTTTGGTCGACATTGGGTATGGCTTTATAAAAAGGCCGGTGCTGGTTCAATTTTAAAGGGATGTTTTATTTTACTAGACTTTTTAAAAAATGATTTAGAGACACCTTTTCTATAGGCTTCATAAACCACTTTAGCAATCAATCACCAAATGAACTTTTAAATTTCTGAATGTTTTGTGATTTTTAAAAGATAAATTTAACAGATACATCTAAGTTTAAATGTCAGTTTTTAATAATGTTTCAATAAAAATATGCCAACCTATTTTCTAATGAGAAAATTACTGTGGACCATTAACTTAACTATCTTTCCTTGTTGTCTGTAGAATAATCCATTAATGGGTAATGCACCTCATGGATTGCTTCCTAATCGAAGTATAAAACTAAACAGCCATAATCGTTAAACCCTTCATCAATAATTCAGACCTGGGGCCACTAAGACTCAACTCTTTCACATCAGCAACAAGTTACACTACTACATTTTTTTTTTTAACCAAAATGAAACAAGATTTCATAGTGATTGGGAAGCCAAGGGCACTCCATTTTTTTCAGCTTTTTCTTTTCTTCTTCCAGACAAAATCGTTTCATTTTAACTCAATTAATTAATAACTATGAACCTAATTGCTAGAAATATATAATCGTTCTTCATGATCTCTCAGTTCCGACAGAAAATCTGATCTTCAAACAATGCAGCATGTTATTTTCCCCCTCAGAATATGGAAGAAATCGATATCAGACGCAAGGTCTAGACATACTGCATAGGTCTGCCTGCAGCTAAAACTTCAGAAAGTCATTGATTGTATTAGTACTACACTGTACTGATACACTGTCTGATTCCATCTCTTCATGTAACAGAACATAAAAAACCTCTTTTGTTTTGAATAGACATTTTGAGTAGGAGAAAAGTTTTAAACTATCAGCAGTTGTGAAATACATGGACTAGTACATGCTGCAGATTATGAGATGGTTAATTAATTTAGTAAACATACACTGTTTCTGTTGTCAAGACATTTACAAACTCTAATGTTACATTTACATTGCTTTATTTTTACACAATATAATAGCGTCTTTTTCTTTCTTCTTTTTTTAAAAACTTAATTAAAGTCAATTAGCTGTTATATTATAATTCTAGTAGTTGTATAAAGCAATTGATATCAAAAGGCCCATGTGCCACAAAGCTCACCTGAGTCACCATTCAGTTTCTCTTCCTGACAAATGAATATGTGGATAAGTAAAACTGCTTATTCTATACACCAAATTAAGGACAGATGATATGTACCTCAGTTATATATAATTTTTTCAAAGATTTTGTCATTGAAGTACTGCTACTTTAACATGTTTACTCACAAAAAATTGAGGTATATAACCTGGCATTTGTGCAAAATACCAGAGGATGGTGTTTCCTATATAATCCTTTTGGAATAACTTAATTTGCCAATATCATTTTTTTTTTTTTAGAGTTTTGGTTTTTTAAAGACAATTAGAAACCAGTTTAGAAATCACAGGGTAATTATGATTTTAAATATTTTTCATAATTTACAAAGATATACAAAACAGAAATTTGAGGAACATATCATCTGTCCTTAAAGTTCTAATTTCAACAATCTGTATTTACAGTATATTGAGGCTTCGTGACAACTTTACAAGTTGCAGTCATTTTGTGAATGTCAATATAATATTTCTGTATAAAGCTTGGTTTTCCATCAGTGGCCAGTCCTGACCTTTAGGGCCATGATTGGAACAAATAAGCATTTACATTTCATTGGAATACAGAGGAGGCTCGTTTATCTGGATGATTCAGGTTAGGGATGATTTTTGGGTAACCCATTTTTCTAATGTTATTTTGTCTCAAAAATCTGGACCTTTGTGTTCCGGATCTCGATTTTCGGTTTTAAAAATTAAACATATTTTCAATGAAAAAAGCTTCAATGGACAGCAGCTTTCAAAGATCAATTTCTTCAAATGGACAAGTGATTGACAAGTGTGAATTAATGCTATAAAAATTCATCTTCTGAGTGTTTGATAAATATTATGTTTTCTGAATAATGTGTGCATAAACAAATCATTGCTAACAAGCTGTACATTGTTTCAACTCTATGCAGTTGTGACTGGACCTGTCATATATGCAGTTTTTTTTTTTTTTTTTTTTTTACACTTTAGAGTTTGATTCTGTGTAAAAAGTGCCAAAAACCATTACTACTAACTTGTACACACAATGTGGCTTGATTATATCATAATTTCACCCACAGTAGATGACCAATTGAATTAGTTATGCTTCATTTCATATAAAACCTGTGAATTTTTGGTAATCCTAGGCCTTACTAAGAACATGGCTTGTCTACATTCAATTTATGTTACCTTTATAAAGTTATAAAGATATGATATTCTTACTGCATCAATACATTGTTTCTTCCAAGCTAGACCCTTGGAACCAATGAGAAGACTGCTTTCATGTTGCATTACGTCATTTATAAAAACAACAAATGAACAATCATTTATAAATGTTTTGCTACTCCATGTTCTTGTTCACACGTACATGTATACATTACATTCTCAATTTGTATCTATCCCCGTAAAACTATATTTATTGCCTTCTGTAGTTCTTAAATCTCTGCTTTCATGTACCTCTCCATTTCTTTTTTTACAATGGATACCAAACTACAATTTGAAAACTGTTACCCAGTTAAAATTTAGTGCGTTGAGAGGATGTCCCTAAAGTTGACCATAATTTTAGTGGTGTTATCTGCCAAGGGTCTGTGGGGATCAAAGCGGACCGAAAAACCCTGGCTTGCGAGGATGAAATTGCCCTTACATATTGATATTTATTAAACTATTGCAGTGCCTAACGGTAACCAAATAAAATGAATTCATATTAAACTCATAAATTGGGTTATTCCAAACCTACTTCACAAATATTTAAGGTCAGATTCAGTTATCCAGATGATTTGGCCAGGAACTGAAGAAGTGTCCAGATTAATGAAGCTCCACTGTATTATACTATATAACTATTTGAAGTGTGATGGTCTGAAACAATGACATACATGTATATGTGTAATGAGAGTAATTCAGGGTTCGAAATTCACTATATACAACTCGCAAAACACGAGTTAGAATTCCAAAATTGCGAGTTAAAAATTAGGTAACTCGCAAAAACTTGCGAGTTGATTTTTTGGCATTGAAACTGTAGCAAAATTATATAATATGACAGACGACAATCATGCTTTTGATTTAAATCAGTAATTTAAATAAAAGTCACTCTGTAGCTGTATTTTGTGTATTGTACAGTAGTTACTTTTTCCGTAAGTTACATGTATTTAATTTATATAAATTTAACTTTATATGAAAATTGCGAGTTCACTTTCTTGGTACTCGGAATTATTTGTGAGTTGTAATTTTAGGGAGTTTCTAACCCTGGTAGTTATGACTTGCTGTTTAGAAGCTTTATGCTTTTTTACTTTGTTGTTTGATCTGTTACTGTTGCCCCTGGGGCCATTTCAACATTAAACAATACTGATTCGACACAGCACAGAAATGCTTGTATACATATATGAGTAAGTTATGGCCTGGCCTCCTGCTCTTGATTTCCTACCCAAATGACTTTATATATCTCTACCCTTTATTGCGGCCCCATGCGCAGGGTTGTGGTTAACTTTTGAAAACTTAGGGGCCGTGTGGGCTCCTAACTTTTCAAATTTTACGGGCCCACAATGTGACCCAGGGGCCCACATTTTATGTCAATTAAAAATAAAAACAAAAATCCTTAAATTTTTTAAAACTGATTTCTTAAAATTCCTATATCAATATGTTTGCAGCATTTGAATTTCCATCAGGTTTTCTCTTTTTGAAAAAAATCGTGGCACAGTAATATGTTCATTTCATTTTGTAGCATTTAACCATACAACAGAAGCATCTATGGTTTAACAGGGCATACTTAATTACATACAACCTGTAATGAAGTTTGATTCTAATCTTATATTGTGTGTATTTGACAGGATAATTCAAATTCTATCTATGAATAACTAGTCCTGATTGAGTGTCTCACAGCCATAGCCGATTGTTACAATATTTCTTTAAGAACAATCTCAAACGTTTACTCTCATATCATCAAGATTGCAAATTAACCGCTTCGATAAATCCCATGTTTGATCTAAGTCACGTAAATGTTACTTATATGCTTGCACACAATAAAAATAATCTAGGTTAGAGCGTTTCTTCAAAAACTGAAAGTACATGATTATGTTCGGGGAAAAAATTGTTCGCCATGTGGGCAACCAGTAGCCCTTTTCACAAAAAATCTTACGACATATTTTTATCTTAAGTGAAAACTTACGATAAAAATCATTTTCACAAAAATTCTTAAGAAAGTCGTAAGTGCAAAATCTGTTGTAACTTTATGAGAGCCCCAACCCTCTCTTAAGTATTTTAAAACCGATTTTATTGTAAAAATGTAACCGCAAAAACCAAAATACACGTTAAATTGAACGTTGTAGAGCAACTTACAATAATATTTTATATTTTTTTCACAATCATTGTCGAAAAATTAAATGAAATACACTACAAAATATTTACGATGTAAGTTTCACTTAAGATTTTCGTATGACCTACTTTTACGTCAGACTTGTGATTGTGACATCAGATTTTAAACTTTCTTGCTTCACAAATGATTGCATTCGATATTTGTTGTCAATAATGTTTGTTATGCTGACAAATGTTGAAAACTGAGTTTTATGTTATTTTCACCCACTTATTTAAGGATTATAAAGCATATTGAAGTCGTAGCTAGGGATGAAGTCTGTCGTAAGTAAAATCTTAAGTTCAATCTGCTACGAATGCGTTTGTGAAACGCACTTAAGAATTGTCATAAGAGATTCTTAAGTTAAAATCTTACGCAAAAACTTAAGATTTTTTGTGAAAAGGGCTACAGATTTTTAATATGTGATCGCCCACAGCAAATTTTACTCGCATTTGCGAGTGGGCGAGTGGTTATCCACAACCCTGCATGTGGCAACAACACATATATATCCCTGTATCATTTGAAAGCATGAAAAATATTATGCATACTTAGATGTTCATCAGTGCAATTTGGTCCAGGTAAGTTTAGGCAGAGAACTGTATACTTGTATTTATATAAAATCCACGCAAGTTTGATTTGGGTTGGTATATTAATGGTGTGTGGTTCCCAATTAACTCATGACTACAAATTCAAAACTGTAACTCTAGAAATATGTCCCAGTTTGAGTTTGATATTAGTTATCCAAAATAAAGGTGTCTTTTATGTGCTTGAACATATTAAAATGTTTGAAAAAAGGCAATTTACTGATCATGAGCAGATCAGTTTCATGTACGCATGGTAAACCAAGGTCACCAAAATATATGTAGCTACAAAATTTGCAACTTTAAGCTTCTCCTCTTAATGTATTGGTGGACTAGTGCTTATCGAAGTTAATATTGAGCCCTGGTTGTGACCATAACAATAGCCCTTCCAATGTCATTAAGGTTAGCTGATAATGGAAGCTTGCAATGGCTTGGAGATGTGTGAAATTCAAAGTCTACCAGTACATATATTCTGTACAATGCATCCCAGCAAATACAAACCTCATCCTTTGGTACAGGAGAACTATGTTAAATGTAATCTGAAAAGCCAATTTGCCATTTTGATATAACATTAACAAATGCAACATTCTTTTAGTGTCCTGAATTAAAAACAGTATGATTCTTCCTCATAGACCAGAATTGCCAGACCAAACCTTCTGTAAAATATTGTTCAATAGCATCCAAGACCTGTATTCATTCACACAATTACTGTATTGATGTAGTACCTTACCTGTTGACATTGTGGATGAATTCTAATTCTAAAGGCACTGGTTAATTTTGCACCTGTAAACACATGAAAAAGAAAAATGTAATCATCATTTACAAGAATATATGCTTCATGTAATTGTCAGATCAATTCCTAATCCTAGTAACCGGTTACTCGCTTGCCTTTCAAACTGTGTAATCGCTATTCCGCCATTATTTAAAAAAAATTCAGAATTTAAACCTATTTATCTTTTTAATAGTGTTTCCAATTGAAAATAATTTCAGGGCCTAAAAATGATGAGCTTAATTTAGTCACAGAGTGAAAAGAATATAAAATTCAAAATATTTTTAATGAATATAAATACATGTACACTTCATCATGATAAACATTCAATTTTTATCACATTTTCAACAGTGAAATACTGAAATTCATTACATTTTCAACATTTTGAAATTGTAATCTACTAATGGATTTTTTTTGACAGTGTGAAAAAAATATCAAACTGGAAATGAAAAAATATAAAAAATGTGCAAAACTCAAAGTTTTCCTTCTCTTTGCAGAAAGCATTATAAAAAATACATGTACTTTCTAGTCTGTTATTAGATAGCGAGAGTAAGTAAACCATCCTGACCTAAACTAAAACTGTCAAATTGTTGTAAATATCCATGTTTACAATTTTCAAGCTCACAATCACTTAGCTATGATGTCTCATACCTCATGAAACTAGAAATATGTCCATAAGTAGGGGTGCAACGATACACTAACCTCACGATACGATACGTATCACGGTATTCAGTTCACGATATGATACGTATCACGATACATGACAAGGTTAAAAAGTCTTTCAAGTTTGTCATATTTTTTTAAACTTGACAGGGTTATATCAAATGTTCATATTTTTTATAATAATTAAAATATTATTTTGCTAACTTGAACTAGATTGATAGGTAGATCTTCGAGTTGTGACAATATTCTAAACCAGTGATGAACATTTACAGGGAACTACGGCCGGGGACCTTTCCTAATAATCTTCCTTTTAAATTGGAATGAAAAAGGAAGACATTCATTCTTTTATTCCTTTTATTTACGTAGAAAACCAGTTGTCATATTGCTCGTGTTAACACGTTTTAGCCAACAAGACAGCGAATTTTCATTGAAATACACGCGTGATGTGATATCGTGTATTACCAAAGAATATGTTTAGATCTAAAGGGTTCATCATTTGTCTTAACATCTATAACTTGTAATCACATAAATTCCTTCTCCATGTTAAATCTGAGGTCTGTAAGATGCTGGAGATGAGTTTAACTGCCGTTAATGTCGTTATCTGCGTTATGTGGACCTCACGTTTTGCGCAGAAGCCATTTTGAAATTGTAAACAAGGAAACAAAATGGACGATTCGGATAATTCTGGACCGATTGAACCGAACCGCGGTACCAGTCTAGTGTATCGTGAAATGAACCGTGGAAAAATATACCGCGATATACCGTCAAACGGTTTATCGTTGCACTCTTATCCATAAGACATGAATGCTCCAGATCTTCTTGAGGTATGAGACATCATAGCTAAGTGACTGTGAGCTTGAAAATTGTAAACATGGATATTTACAACAATTTGGACAAACTTGAGCAATTCTAGTTTAGGTGAGCATTTTTTATTTTTCAGAAATTCACAGGGCCAAAAAAAGGTCTTTAGTGAACCTTGTTCTTTAAACTAGAAATATGTCCATAGGTTGTAATGATGTGTCAATCAAACACATCCCGAAATTTGTAGTTTCAATAATTTCCAGATAAAAAGTTTCTGAACACACTTCTATTATATTTCCGTGTGAAATGCTATAGCAACATATAAGTCATGATATTATACAGAAAGTTTGAGAAAATATTAACTTCAAATCTGTGTTCAGGCCCCTTTAAAAGCGAGTTTAATACACACTAAATAGTAAAGTCTGGGAAAGGTTATTGGGAAGGTCAAGGTAAAAAAAAAAAAAAATAAAGTAAAGGACACAGTTGATATATTTGCAAAATTAAGCAAAGTAGGGTCACAGTCATACATTTTGAACAGTTGAATAGTTATTACCAATATATCAAGTGTAGATTAAAATACATGTATGTTGAATCGTTTTGAAATCAAGCTACATGCAAATTTCAGAAAAGTGACATGAACATGATCAAGGTCAAAGGGAAGGTCAATATCTGAAATTTATAAACTAGGAAAAAGATTTAAAACTTAAATTATTGTGTGCCAGCGATTGAACTTAGTGGGTAATACTCGCAAATTGTGAGTTGATTTAAAAAAAAAAAAGCAAGCAAAAATAGCAGACACTCGAAATTTTGTGGTGATTTGTGACCTCGATTGTCTCGTATCCATTTTTTTTGGGAATGCGTCTTTTACTTTTTTGAAACTTTAACAGTCACGCAAACGCTTAGATAACACACCGATTAAAGCAGCCATTTTTATCTATCTTTTTCTATTATCTGGTATATCTATTTAGAAAATCAGAATCAAACAAATGCTTTAAAGGTCACAGAAACAAGATGATTACCATTGCTAAAACATTTTTATTTTCAACCTGTAAATAGGTGGTTGATTAGTGGAATGAGGGTCAAGAGACCCAACACTGCACCATATGGTCCACATCAGTGACTGTCTGACAAGCACTAAAGTTGAAACAATCTAAATAATTCTGTACTGACCCACTATAGTAGGCCCTGTATTGTTATCAATTGATTAAAATAAAGCATGAAAAGGGCATTTAATCAAACTTTTAATTTTAGCTTGTAGATCTTCATTTTAGCCTGTGATTTTATATGTATAGGCTAAATTTAGCCTGTGGTAAAAAAAGTTAAACCCTGTGTGCTAAGAAATATATGAAAATGCAAGAATCAAATGAAGTCTCCTTTTCATTGTCTCTTAAATCAGAAGAGGGTGTGCAAGTCAATTTTTGCAACCTCTTTTACTAATTTAGTATGCATACATGTACACCATGTGATATATGTCTCTAAGTGCAAAAATAAATAGAATCATCATTTACAGCTTTAATGACTATTTTAAGTCTAAGAACGGGCCTTCAAATCATGCAATTTGACAAACTAAAGGTTTCAAAAAATATTTTGAGCCTAGGAATACAAAGTACTTTTGTGAACAATAATACTAAAGATCTGCTTTAAAATTACAACATACAAAGAAACAATATTAAAATAAAATTTAAGAAAAATATTTTTTTGCAATGTATCATGAACTTTAATTTCTTCTGTTAAGTATCAAACTCACTGAAAAAAAAAATCATTTTTAATAAATATATACATAATGCTAACAACTTAATAATTCCAAATTGAAATTTACAAATATTTTTCAAGAATTATCATTTCTGTTCAAAATATTAAGGAATTCTAATTCTGAACACTCCTTTATACAATTCTCAGAATTAAAATCCCAAAATTACAAACCCCCCAAAAGTCTTGAAATTTAGTCTCACAGTATCACCATACCTGATCATGCTTTAATACTGAGAAAGTAACAACCACACCTATCCCCAGTGTGAATAACAATCCTCTATCCTATCCCGACTCGCACCACAGCCCAGCCTACAAACACACTTTTTCCTTCTCTCCGATGCGGAGCTTCCGAGTGCCGTGCAGGACTGCAGACTGAGATGACTCATATCCTAGTCATTCTGAATACATTACCCAACCGCCTGCCGCTGCACAAAACTTCCAATATCTCCTTAGAAGTTTTTTTTTCATCTAAAAATGCTATAGCTCTATTTGTTCTGGATTGGGAGAATTGTTATTGATGTCTTGATCAGATTTTCCACAGAGATCCATTTTTATTATGGAAATTTACCATTTCACTGCATCTTACTACTAATTTGGCAAAAACAAATTTACTAAAACCTAATGAAACTGATGAAGTATGAATTGTACAAAATATTCCATATAAATGTATAAAGGCAAAATGACCTTTAACTGAAAGAGGGATTGCAAAGCACAGATGACACATAAAAGTCATTTGTCGTATACTTGGAATTTAGCAATTATTACCTTAATTAATAATCATTTTGATGTGTACGCTCAAATACTGGTCAATGTTATATCTACACATTTTGGGTATAACTGAACTCTCAGATTGAATTCAATGACAAATACAGTAAAGTACCATATACATAATATTTCATATGTACAACCTGAGAAACATGATACTATGTGGTATGACAGTGTCAAGATAATGGAGAGATTGAATTAAACATTTCCCTCCCTGCCATTTCCTCTGAGTTTCTAAAATCAATAGAATTCTGAGGATAAATAAATATGGAATCAATATGGAGGAATGAGTCATTCTACCTGTACTCACAAAGGATGGTGAGTAATCACACAACTCGAGCATGACAAGAGATTCCTTTACTCTCTTGGTGCTGTATAATCTTTGATCAATACTATCCTGCACAAAAATCTTGTTCAACAGATTTTATCAAGTCTTTATAGCTTGTTTACTTTGACACTTTCTGACAATGTTGAGGGATCTGGCACAAATTTCTAAGACTGTTTGGGTGTAACTTGTGCTCAAAGCATGCTCTAAAAGTAAATACAACACATAAAAACTTCAGATGCATATTTTATATATGTGTATTTGATGTAGTATAAACTAACTTACTTGAAACAAACATATGCTTCTAGTAAGAAATTCATTCCCTTGTAAGAGGCTTAAAAAGGGAAATGAAATGATCTGTTTAGGATATTTTTAATATAATAAAACATAGATCACATGGTAAAAGAATATCTTTTCATGAATTAGCCAGCCTCTAGTTTATTGTATTTTTTAAATTATAATATTAAGGTCTCTCTTAAATGGCCCCATCCACTAGGGCTGAAAGGATTCACCGAAATATCGATATTGTTCAATATTACTGCTCGGTTCAATGTTAGATTCACTATCTTGATTTTCGGTTCGGTGCATTTTTTTTTTTTAAATAATCAGTTTGGTTATTCCTTGAAATAGATCAAGTTCAACCTCATTTTTATAGTTTGACACACACGAGGGAGAAGACTGCAATGGAGAAAATTTCAGAGCAGGCTGCCACTGCTAGTATTGACACAAAGTGCTCTTTTAATCTACAGAAGCACAAGTAGTGCTCTTTATTGTATCACCACCTTTTACTTGCCTTTTGAAATCTTAATTCATGTTTTCTTTAACCTTATGATTTGTTTCTTTTTTAAAATGTATTGAAAAAATTGAATTGTGACACAAGTATTGCGATACGTACCATATTGTGGAGGGGGCGTATCGTTTCAGCCCTACCATCCACTGACGTCAGACACAATGACAGCCACGGGAAATTGATGTGCATATTAAACACTTGACCTTTCACTTGGTGAAATTTACATTCAGAAATCAATATGGGTTTTTTGAGGCCATGGGGAGTTGTGATTATAAAATTTTATTGCAAAAAAAAAAAAGTTTTACACAGACAGAATGTATGAATTTATAACCTTCACCTCTGAACTTTAGACCTCAAAATTGCTAAGGTTCTTATTCAGGCCATAGGGAGTTGTGATATTAAATTTTATTGAAAAAAGCTCAAAGAAACTTAAAAGTTATCTGGAAAATGCTATTTGCAATGTATGAATTTATGAACTAAATTAAATCATCATCTGAAAAATGTTATTTGTAATGTATGAATTTTTTACCTTGACCTTTTAACTTCAAATCATAAGGTGTTGTGATATAAAATTTACAAAGGCTTCTTGAGATATCTTCTAGAAATAAAAGTATTACACACTTACAGAGTGCATAAATTTATGACCTTGACCTTTCAATATTTGATCTGAATAGGGGTCTTCTTTAGGCCATAGGGAGTTGTAGTATAAAATTTCATTGCAAAAGCTGAATGGCTTCTTGAGATATCATCTGGAAACAAGTGTTACACACAGACAGACCCAAATTAATATCTCCCACTTTCTTCTTCCAAGAAACTGCAAACCTCCTCTGGTGTATTATTGCAGACGTTATTTGCTCTGCATGCCCAGCAGAAGCGTGCCGTTAAAATCAAAACATTCACAAGTTAAAAGATAAAAGTCCATATGTACAGTTAAAAAACACAGCACTTTCAGTGAAAGAAATGCTGTTGACAATCAAATTGACAGAAACTACTTGTATTAACAAGATTAGAAAAGTGATGGTGAAGAAAATGGGTGAAGGTAGCATGCTATGTACAATAATGTAGCATTCATCCATCACTTGGAAGGTTATAGGCAAACTAATAAACCTTGACTTCAAAGTCCTATTTAGGAGTGAAACGGTTCACCGCGGTATCGATGCACCGCGGTATTTTTTCTCGGTTTGATACACGGTGCAAAATCTCTAATTTTCGGTTCGGTTCATTTTTCGGTCGGGATCGTTATTCAGTCGGGTTTGGCATAAGGTATAACACGTTACTCAGAATAAATAAGTATAGAAAACGTAAATTTTTGATGACTGATAGCTTGTAAAATAATTTTTGACAGTCAAATAATTTTAATCAATTTCTTCTAGTCAATTTGCAAATAAAATTCGTAAAATATGTGACTAGATTTAGAAAAAGAAAGCATAAAACAACGTAGAATTTGTTTCCTTCTATCAAAATGTATCGTATCGAAAATAACCGAACTGAGACAAAATTATACAATACGTATCGAACCGTGAAGGAGGTGTATCGTTTCACCCCTAGTCCTATTAACTAGAAGTTATCAAAGCTATGCGAATATCACGTGCAAAGAACAAGGCCATCAAATGATTGACAAGAGTATGGCATCAATAAAAAGTTTTGAACATGAACATGAAGCTTTATAAAAAAAACTATTTTGGAATCAGAACACATTACAACCTTTTTTCTTCCAGACATGGACAGCTGTACTATAAAATCGTCAACATATCAATTTCTGTACAAGCACAATTTCCTTTCCTTAGATCACACACTGACACTGACAGTGCACAATGGGCATGTCAACATATGTATTAAATGGATACAACTGTGTTGCTGAAGACAGAGGAGCAAACCTTCACCATATATCCTTCACCATGTTTACGACTAGGGTAGAATATTCCTCTGTCAATTGTTAACTAGGCCTATACACCTACTTTCACAGCAATTGGCCAGAAGTACTTCAGATATGAGATGGGACAGTTGCCTTATATTCTTAAAAATAATTATCAATAATTACACAATTCACAAACTGTACATAAACACACCTTTTTCAAACTCTTTTCTTCTCTTTCTCTCAGTTTACAACCGGATCGCGCGCTTCTCACGCAAAGGAAGTGACGTTCAAAATAAAAGTTATTGGTTGATTTTATTCCATTCTCGACAATGATTGGTTGATGCAATGGAATTCCCCTTCTCGACTTAAGGATCCCCGCCAACTTTCAGCTGGAATATAGGAACATTTGATGATTTGTCTCCTTGAGTATGTAAATGATATGTTGTGTATATTTGTGATTATTTGATCTGAGCAGTGGAACTTAATACTAAAAACGAATTGATTTCTCCATTTCAGGGTTAAGTGTGTCTGTGTCAGAGGTGTGTGCATGCTATCCCGTTCGAATGTCCTCAGATAATTACATTATTAACTAAAGAATTATGAAATAGATGAGTTTTATTTCAACAATTAGGGAAACAAATCTATATATATTGCGATACACAAGAGGAAAAACTTAAATTACCTTTTATAATAACTCTATACACATGTAAATACCTAACTAATCAGTGTTTGAAACTCGAGGTAGATAGCTAGACATGCAGGGCTGACTGCTGGTGAAAATTGTCAATCCTGCCAAAACTCTACTAGCCCGAGAAAAAGTCTTTTATAAATTTGTTTTTAGCGATAATGTTATTGGGGCACGATCACCATAACTTCCATCCCAAATCTATAGGCTGTCAAATTCTACCCCTTGTTACACTTAGCTACCAATACTATTAGTTGATTTGAGAGATATTTATCGAATATATGAATTTTAATTTATGGCAAATTTTAACATGTCCAGCTGGGCGTTGATACTTGCAAATTTCTTTGTCTGCGGCATAATTTGTGCGCTCAGGCTTGGGGCAGTTTCAAACACTGAATTAATGGTTTTTGATGAATATTTTATTTGCAGTGGTATAAGAAGCACATGCACTAAGTTGTTTCTGTAATAAAATTTTTAACCCATAGCATATTAATAACACAAGGTATCTAATAGGGCTGTGTCAATATATCGAATATTCAATACGTATCGATATTCAGGAATGTATCGTATCGAAAAAATAACTTCCAATATGTATCGGACAGGCAGTTTTCCTTATAATTCTGTAAAAAAGTTGGGAATTTCAGTTACCAAAGATCATTTTTAACTGTTTTGAGTTAAAACTGGTCAATAATGAAATAAACATTAAGGAGATAGCACATCTTAAATAACTATTACAAAATACATAGACAACTATATTTTAACATGTTATGTTAGACTCACACAGTTTTTATCAAATTTATGCATTAAATTTCATTTACAAGACATTTTTGAAAGACTTAATTAATAATCCAATATATCGCATATCGCTTTATAAAATATCGTATCGTATCGTATGGAAATATTTTGCTCAATAAACAGCCCTAGACTATCTAATTCCGAATTACAT